TTGGAATAAATTTGAACTACACAAATTTTCAAATAAAAGTTTCAGTTCCTTTTTGGCTTACCCAAAATTACTGAATCTACCCTTTTTTTTTTTTTTTTTTTTTTTTTTTTTTTTTTTGGAGTTGACTCTTTCCATTTTTTCGATGACTTTCCAATTTAATATATAAAGTGTTATACTTTCTTCAGTCGACTCCTTTTCATATTTTTGGATAACTTCAAAATTTTTAATTTAATACATAAAAGTTATAATATATCATCAAAATACAAAATTACCCTAAAATTACTAAAAAATTCTTATTGGAATATAAGGAAATAATTTGGATTAAGTGGAATATAAGCAGGTGATGAATGATTTATGAATAATTTCTCCTTATAAAATTGTATTCTTACAAAAAATGTAGACAATTTTTTACGAGAATGATCCATAATTGATATCTTTATAATTAAATATCATTTTAATAAACACCTTATTCTAAAATAATAGATAATTCCAAATGCAATTGTGTGATTTGGTGATATGACTTTATCCCACCATTTATCATCTATTTTCATAAAAGAAGATCTCTAGTTCTTGTAAGAAATAAAGAGGAGCTAGGTCCATCACTTTGAAAGGTGAATTTCTACAAAAATAAGCCTCTTATATAAAGATAGTGAACTTTTCTTTTCTCTGTCATTCTTTTCCCATCCATCACACATATATACATACAGATCTCACAACTCGTGAGGTAACTCTTGAAAGAAATACCAATATAGTTTTTAGACATTTTTTTTTTTTTTAATGGGAACATCTCAAGTTTAAAAAATTAGCCGATACATATACCTATAAAAAAAAAATTTTTAAAATGCTAAATATAATTTTATTTCTTATTTTATTTGTTCACTTCAAGACAAAAATGGGTGATTCTCATATGCATTTATGAAAGTGGGTACCATTACTTTGTGTTTAGGAGTTGAAAAATGAGATAAAAAATAAGATTATGTATAATATTGCTCTATTAAATCTAGAAGTTTACATTCCATTTGATAACTTAGGAGGGAATTGGGGATGCTATTGCGCATCCCGCGCAGCAGCATCTGCTGTGTGGTCAAGTGGGCTTATTTTGGGATCTATTTTAATAATTCGAACCGTTCACACTTTAGAGTATATCAAGTAGAATATGCCTGCAAAAAATTAAGTTAATCAGATATCGTTTACTTATTCATCCACACACATTTATATTCATTTTAATACTTAAATTAAAATTGTTATTTATTTTTGTAGATACAAATGTGGGTAGATGAATAGGTAAACGATATCCAATTAACTTGATTTTTTGTAGAAATATTCTACTTTATGTATTTTAAAATAGGAACGGTTCAGATTATCAAAATGGGCCCGAAATAAGCCCATTTGGCTGCACAGTAGATGCTGTTGCGCGGGATGCGCAGCAGCATCTCCAACTCCACTTAGGGGGGGAGAAATAGTTACTTAAGTTATGAGAGAGAAAAAGAAAAAAAAAAGATAAATTTTATTTGAATAAATTGGAGAGAAAATCACATAACAGATAATTGTTTCTTTCCTATCTTGTTTGGTTACACTACATAGAAAAAAGAAAAAACAATGGAGCTACGTTGTATTATATTACTAAAATAACCTTTTACATATTTTATTTCTTATATGTATATATATTCCAGACAAAAATAGCATTTGTATGTTAGTATAATTAGATTATAACTAAAAAGATTCGTTTCTATTCCATCAATTTGAACCTCTGATCTCTCCCTCACCACACCCTAAAAGGTGTGGTTACAAGACTAATGGGGCAAATCCCAAGATCTTTATTTCTTTTGTAACTACAAAAGTAGTTTTAGTATTACAAGAAAGTAGTAATTTGTTGTTGTTGTTGTTGCTGTTGTTTTTTTTTCTTTCTCCCTCTCAATCTCTACACAAAATGAGAATTTTAAGAATTTTTTTTTTTTTGACTCTCTCTCTATTTCTTACAATTTCATCTTATTTCAGTCATCATTATCAATCACAATGCTTTTTTTTTTTTATCCTAATTAACCAACCGATTATTACAGTTTCAATACCAATATTAACGATAAATGAGTAGACACTATTCAATATTAATGATAAATGAGTTGACATTATTTTATATAATCCGACAACGTGATCGTATTAACATGGGTAGAAATCTTGACATTAATATTTGAAACCAGGGAATAGCTTGTTATTGAACAAGTATCATCAAGATATCCAACCTATGAAATCTCAACCAAGATTGTGAAAAAGGTGTGGTTACAAGACTAATGGGGCAAATCCCAAGATCTTTATTTCTTTTGTAACTACAAAAGTAGTTTTAGTATTACAAGAAAGTAGTAATTTGTTGTTGTTGTTGTTGCTGTTGTTTTTTTTTCTTTCTCCCTCTCAATCTCTACACAAAATGAGAATTTTAAGAATTTTTTTTTTTTTGACTCTCTCTCTATTTCTTACAATTTCATCTTATTTCAGTCATCATTATCAATCACAATGCTTTTTTTTTAAATCCTAATTAACCAACCGATTATTATAATTTTAATACCAATATTAACGATAAATGAGTAGACACTATTCAATATTAATGATAAATGAGTCGACACTATTTTATATAATCCGACAACATGATCATATTAACACGGATAGAAATCTTGACATTAATATTTGAAATCAGGGAATAGCTTGTTATTGAACAAGTATCATCAAGATATCCAACTTATGAAATCTCAACCAAGATTGTGAAAAGAAAATATCAAAACAAAATAAAAAATAAAAAATAAAAAGTAAATGCGGGTTTTCAGAAGAATATATACTAGTAGAAGGCCATTAGTGTGAATGACCCATCATAGTATCACAGATTAGCTTTGTCTGGGAGGTTGCACTCTTTTCATGATTTGTCAGGTATAGGGATCTAAGTGTACCACCAACAGTGCAAGAGATACCCCTGCCCTCCACTGTCATATACTCCCACACCTCCTTTCTATCTATGGTGTCCAGGGGATGAAGGAAATGTATTAATCATAAAAAATTATTTAAAATTTAAAATTATTGATATACGACATACTCACAAAGAATGTAAAATCATTAATTTATTTTTTAAATAATATTTTCATGTATAAAATATTATTATATTCTTTTTATTTTTATTTTTTTTTGGTTACATCGAAAAAATTATATTCTTATTCATATGTTGCATTGGCCCAACCTAAAGTGTGTTCATCCTATGCCATTCACACATTACACACTATTATTAATTTATATTGATAATTATTATGTAAGAAAAATTATAATTTGTTATGATTTCTTAAAAATAATTTTAAATAAGTGGCAAATTTATGAATCTTAATAATTAAAATTTTAAAAATTTCTATGATTCTGTGTCTTGGTTTGGCATGTGCGTTAGGGATGAGTTGGGGTTAAAATAACCACAGAAAGACAAAATAGGTTTTTTAACTTCAGGTTAAAAGTTGTCATATCCAAATTATAATTATTTTATTTTTTCTCTCACAAAAGTTTAAAAAAAATATATATATATCCATCTTGAAAGAGGTTATTTTAGCCCCAGGCTAAAATAGCTAAAAAACCAAAAAGACAATCCACATTCCTAACGAAGCCTGTAATTATTTTGTAAAGGAGTCCTTGTAATTTCTATTATTATTTAACCCATTCCATTATTGTTTCCCTAATTTTTTTAATTTTTTAATTTTTTTTACTTCCCCTCAATTTACAAAAAACATAATAAAAAAATTTAACAAGAGAGAACTGAAAAAGATGAAATCATTTTTCATTATCTAATTGAAGTCACGAATCTTTTAGACATCAATATTTTTTTAAAAGTTAAGAAAAATTATAAATTTGGAAGTAAGAGAAGTGATTGGATAATACTTCAAAACTTATGGACAAAGTGAGATTTCTGAACTTGAAATTTATGCTACAAATTATACTTTTTGATATTTTAAAATACCAATTGCAGTGCATATTTTTTCGGAAGTGATTTAATGATACTGCTCAGATCTTAATGATTACTGCGAAACCAAATACTCATGAGTCATGACAACACAAAATGTATAATTTTAAAATATCAACAAATTAAAATCATAGAACTCATTGCAGAATTAATAATATGCAATAATCTTAGGTCTATTTTTAATTTTTTAATTTTTTTAGGTCACATTACTTTTTGTTTTTTTTGGTACGTCTTATGAAAACAAAGTAAAAAAAATAAATAAATAAAAATTAAAAAACTAACTTTAACTTACTTCTCAAAATGTCTTAATATTCTGGCTGTCTCAAAATATTGATTTCTTTTAGAAAATCTAATTTTTTTAATAGTATAATTATTGCATTTCAAAAATATTAAATTTCTAAAACTATTCTTTGATTTAAAATTAAAATAGTACAATCTTTTTTGAAAAAATTAATTATCATAAATATACTTTTTGTGTATATTAATGTTAATGAATTTAAAAGGAAGACAAAATAGGAAATTAATGTTATTTTGGTAAAATGAACTAATGTATTAAGACAATGAAAAATAAAATAATGGACTAATTTTTTAGGAAGGATGGGGTAATAAATATAAAAAAAAATTACAATTCAGTACTTATTTTTAAAAATAAAAATAAAAATTCAAATAAGTGATAATTAAACTATGATACACACCCTTTAAAATGTTTGTACTATATGTACCTTAAAATTAAAGAAGAAAATAAAATAATTTTATATTTTTTAACTCATAATTAAAAATAAAAAATATCATAACTAAATAACACAAGAAAAAATCTTATAAGTTATAATTAAAAAAAAAAATCAATCATAATTAAAGACAAAAATACTGTAACATAATCTAAGGTACATATATAAGAGTGTGCAGTAGGATTTCCCTATTTTCATAGATACCATTTATAGTACGTACTAGCTTTTTCTGAAGTGGTTTAATGAGACTGATTAGATGTTAACTAAACATCATGATAACAAACGAAGAATTATTCAACACCCAAAAAAAATTTCAAAAAATTTCAAAAAAAATTCAAAAATAAAAAACAAAAATTACAACACTCAATTGAATGATGAACATCTTCAAAGGCCACCACCACCACCACCAGACACTGACAAACACATGGTTTTAACATAACAAATAGAAGCAATGATATACAAAAATAACACAATAAAAATAAAAACAAAAAAAACGTTCACAAGAAAGATAAAAAGAGAGAGAGAGAGTTTGATTCAAGAAAAATCAAAGTTTGTGTGTGGTGTTTCACTCTGCTTCCCCTCCCGTAATCTCTGACGACATATAACTTGCAGCGAGAGAGGTTTCGTCAGCCAGTGCAGTCGATGTGGTTGCCTGAAAATGTCGCTTGCAAGAATGACAAGTAATTTGCAAAATAGTTGAGCTTATTTTCTTGGTTGCCTGTTCTTTTAAAGCTTGGGCCTTCTCGAGTTCGGCTTGTGCTTGTTGCCTAATTCTTTTAGCATTAGCAAATTCCAACTCGGCCAATTCAATCTGCCTTTTCGCTTGCTGTCTAGCCTCTTCTGCGTACGCTTTCTCCGCCATCGCCAACTTCAATTGCTCGCTCGCGCCTTCCTTCATCCTCGACGCTTCTATTGCCGCTTCTGTATGTTTCCTTTCTTGGTTGCATGACCCAATCGACAGCTTCAAATTGGTTTCATGGTTTTCATCGCAATTACGGGAAGAATATGGATTTGATGACGAGGGCAGGAGCTGAAGTTCCAAGTTGTGGTGATGATCGTTGCCGGTAGAACTGTGTCGCTCTGGGCATAGGAAGATGGGTTCGGTAGGTATTGGGAGTCTTGGCAATGGAGCAATGCTGAAATTGTTGTTGTCGCTCGAACGGCTCGTGCTGGATGCCGTTCGAGACGAGCAGGCTGGCTGCAGTGCCTGCAAGTCCGGCTGGATCAGCCGGACTGTGCAAGTGTCTTGGTGTTCAATGAAACTCTCAACTCTGAAAAGACAAAACAAAATATAGAATGATTCAAATCAAACACTTAAAAGTGATTTAATTAATTTTTAATCTAGTGCTTGGCTTGATCTTCATGTCTATAACAAAAAAACAAAAAAAGAACAAAGAAAAAAAAGAAAGAGAAACATTTAAGTATTAGAACTAAGTCACGGAAAGCAATCGAAGCTTGTTCATGTAGGGTTACCAACAAACAAAATATAAAAAAATAGATCAAGATTTTAATGGGATGGACTTATATCATGACTGGGTTAATAATAATATTTTAATTAACTATGACAAAGATAAATTATAATTGTTGTGTGTATTTATGTAAATGGCTATGTATCTATCTACTTTGAGTTTAGAGCAAAAAATAGGCATATTTACTTTGCCAATGGAAACTAATTATTGGGAATTGTGATTCACTGCCATTCAATCGCTTTCCTAAATCACACACAAACACAATGCTAAACTTGAGAACATGTACTATGAAACTTGTTTTCTTGGGTTTAGAATCATTCAGATTTAAACTAAAAGAATATACATCATGCACAGAATCATCACAAGCTCTAATAATTTAATATTTATGTCCCTTTTCTTGCAAATTTATGTGGGAATTTTAGGGTTTCCTTGAAGAATAAAAAGCTTGTCTATTGTCCTACTAAACTCATAAAAACCCGTTTTGCTTCTTCATCAAACACATTGATAAAAGATAGAGACGGTAGAGCATACAGTTTTAAATAACGATATCAGAATACGTATCAGTATGTATGATGCAGACAGTATTGTCGGCCGGAGGAAAATAAGATAAAGGTAATACGTTTATATATCAGCCGATATCAGATAATATCGGCCGGTATTGTTGGCCAGAGGAAAGCAAGAAAAGGGCAATAGCCTTATATAGTATTAGTCAGATGATATTAGACAGTATCGGCCGATACCGCCCGGCGGGAAGGGGAAAGAAAGTAGAAGAAAACCTGGAAAATACTCTTCCACAGTCACAAGAATGGCCTCTAGTACCACAAGTCTTGAGATGGGCCTTGTAATCAGATTGAACAGCATAGCCTTTGGAGCACTTCTCACAAACCCACTGCTTATTATTACTATGTTTCCTCCTGAAATGCTTCTTGATTCCGACGAGATCGCCGAGGGCGTGGCATGGGTCGTGGTGGAGGCAGCTTGGCTCCGGGCACACGAAAACCCGCTTCCTCACCTCCGGCGACTCCCTCTTCAACAACTTCCAAGGCACCTTATGACGCCGCCGGTGCATCTGCAAATTCTGATCCCTCTGAAATCCTTGATTGCAAATCTCACAGACGTATCGGTCCGATTCCAATAAAGTCTTGGGGGAAAGAGAGACAACTTCGGCGTCTGGATCTATAGATCGATCAAAACCCATCAAAACCCAGTAATCAAAATGCAATATAAAGTTATAAACATGTATGTTTTTCAATTTTATGTTGGAGTACCTGGGGTACCAGCTGGTCTTCTTTTTCTTTTGTTGTTGCAGACACCATTTTCTGAGGAAGTGAAGGCATCAGAAGAAGAAGAAGGACCAGGTGTTGAGCCAGTGTTGTCTAACATGGGTGAATTTTCTTTGTGCTTTTTGGTTGAATGTGTCTTATAGATGAAGCAGAGTCAATCCCTACCTGTACAGCTGTTGAAGTGGGTGCTGTTTCTTTCAGCTTTACTCATAGATAGAATAGAACACAATTGGGAAGAGAGAGAGAGAGAGAGAGAGAGAGAGAGAGGATACATGGAATGGAGGAAAGCACTTAGCTTTGTGCTAGCAGCTTTCTTTAAGCTTTAAGCTTTTAGCTTTTTCTATGAACTTTCTTGCTTTCTTTCATTGACCCCCACCTTGAGAAGGTAAGGTTGAGGCAAGTCTTCTATATAAAGCCTGAAACAGGAAAATTACTTAGATATTATTCTTGGAGGAATAATATTAAGGATCATAAAAAAAAATATCATAAAATATATTATAAATTTTTTTTATTTTTTAATTAAAGTGTGGTGTTTTATTGTATCTATAATCTAAAAGTAAATAATTTTTTATGATCATTTTTATAATATTTTTTTTCATGATCCTTAACATTATTCTTCTTGGAGTACCTACCATTGTCTATCTAATTTAGATTTTTTAAACACTAGTTTATAAGTTCGTTCTTCTTTTTTTTTTTTTTTTTTTAAATTATGCCATTTTTTTAAATTTATTTTTTTTAACTTTTGGGTCTCTCTAGATAATCATAAAATTTTAAAAAGAATATGAAAAAAATCCTTAAAGATATCAATAAGTCAAATTTGTCAAAAAGCAAATTAAAGTTTGTTTATTTCTGTCCTTCTGAACAATTTTTTTATTATTTTTATCTTTATTTTTTTTAAGAGCATCTAATTTAAACAAATATTAGAGCATCTCCAACGGTGAATCGGATTTTTCACCAAATTTAAGTAAAAAATGATTCATTTTATCAATTTGATACCACTCGCTCCAACAGTGCACTTTCACCAAATTTGTGCCGGGGACAACTAGTTGGTCGAGCGGTTAAGCGAATAAAATGTTGTTATTCAAAATAGTTAAATTTCGTTAAAATAAAAATAAGCTTAAAAAATAACACCATTCATAAATCATAATAAAGTAAAAATCTTAAATGAATCATCTTTCATCTCATCAATCAATCACCATGTTTTGTAAAATTTTTATTATATTATTAATTTTAAGTATTAATTAAATAATATCATATGGAATGATAATATACGGTTTGATCTGAAATTACTAAATACTTATGTTAAAGACAGTAGCAAGAGAGAGAAACTAAAGGTAGGGTTTGGACTTGAGAGGCTGAACCAATCAAATTGCTTGAAGCATTGAACCCCACACACAGTGTTGGGACAGAGAAACAAAAAAAACATCCCCAAAGCAAAAGAAAACAAACAGTAATTATTCATCACACACACTGTAATTTGCATGAATAAATTTAGGCCCACCCCTGAATACACGTGACCTTCCCATCTTCCTCACGTGACCTTCCCTCCCCCTTTTCTCTCTCTCTAAAAGTTTTTTTTTTTTTTTATTATTATTTTTTTGTTTTGAAAAAGGGTTAAAATATGAGTTTTGTTTTGACCAAAGTACCCTTTTTTTTAAAATGACAGCAAAGTAAAACATGATTAATGTCTTTGAAGCAGCTTTTTTAAAGAGGGAGAAGTAAAGCACGATTAGTCACTTTCGAGGGTAATGTAATCATTTCCTACAAGTTCTCTCCTCTCTTAATTTTAAACTTAACCTAACAAAACACAAAAATCATTTTATTTCTTCACTACCAAAAGCTCTCAATTTTTTCTTTTTAAAAAAAAGTCGGCCAATCCTATCACAAATAAAGCTCAGAATAATTAGAAATGCTCTTTTGCAACCGATTACGGAAAGTTTAAAAAAGGGTGTGAATATTATTAGGACAATTCTCGTTCGGTAATTATTTGTTATTGCAAAATGTGTTTTCAATGTCAGTATATGTTCCGAAAATTATTGTTGATTAAGTGTTTTTACGACTGGGACTAGGTGGTTGCAAATGATACACTTTCATAATAATTTTGAGTCTATTTCTAATAATCATTGGAAATGTTCTTTTGCAACCCATTACCGAAAGTTAAAAATCGTTATGTGAATATTGCACTCACTGAAAATATTCATAATGCACTACGCCAAAATTGGGCTTTAGCGGCGGTTTTTTACCGCCGTTAAAGTCTGTAAAACCGCCGTTTATGCGTGTGTCGGAAAAAGTGAAACCGTCGTAAAAAGGCAAATTACCGTCGTTAAAAGTCGACCAAAAACGGCGGTAATATAGGACCAAAAACGGCGGTTTTTTACCGCCGTAAATAGGTTCAAATTTTTCAAAAAATAATTCTTTCTTCTTGCACTCCCTAAGTTTTGAACCCAAGATCTCTCATCCACCAACACCAACCACTCTGCCACAGCCACTCTTCATGAAATATATTCCCTAAATAAATATTTAAACATTACTTTTACTTTATTGTAAATGGTTTCGCCGGAGCTCGCCGGAGTTTCGCCGGAGCACGTCGGAGTTTCGCCGGAGCTCCGCCGGCAAAGACCGCCGTCATTAACGGCGATAATGATTGGGCATTAGCGGCGGTTTTGTTACCGCCGTTAAAAGTGGGCATTAACGGCGGTTTCGTTACCGCCGTTAAAAGTGGGTTTCATTACCGTCGTTAAAGACACTTTTAGTGACGGTTTTTTAACGGCGGTATACATTAACGGCGGTATTAACGGCGGTTTTCGTTACCGCCGTTAATAGTACCTTTAACGGCGATTTTCGTTACCGTCGTTAAAAAAACCGCCGTTAATGCCCTGTTTTGGCGTAGTGATGGTGGGAGAATGTTCGCTCACCAACTATTTGTGATGGTGAAATATGTTTTTAACTGCTAGCTGTAACTATGTCAGAAAAAAAAATTTGATAAATAATTTTTTTGCGATTGATACAACGAGGTTGCAAATGTTGATCTTTCATAATGATTATGATCAATTGCTAATAATTTTATATTTTAAATTTTTTCGGCAAATGTGAGTGTGGCATGTAGTTTTTAGCAACAACTTCATTGTGGTTGCAAAATGTCTCTTTTAATGACAAATATGTTGTCGTCACAAATACTTATTTTAGGATAAGTTACACTAACCTCCCTAGAGGCTTAAAAAAAAACGCTAATCACATACTTTTGGCATAATAATACCAACGACGCCTTTAGTAATGACAAGACAAGTAGAACTAATGAATTTTGGAAAATGACATTTTTACCCTTACATCAATATCAAAAGGACAAAATTACCTAACTAACCCTAATCCAATCTCTCTCTCTCTCTCTCTCTCTCTCTCTCTCTCTCTCTCTCTCTCTCTCGTTATTGTCTTAAAATTGGGGCGAATACAAATAGATGTAAAAATGTCTTTCTTAATTAATAGAGATCTTACAAAATAAGTGTACGTGCAACCTCCTCTAGGTATGCTTGTCTTTCAAACAAGTTCTATAGACTTCTATGAGAACAAGCTCATTGGCCATGGTTTTCCATGTTAGTGCTATTATTGGGAATTTTGATTTTATTTCTAGTCCTTATGATTCAGTTCTTTTCATTCATAAATCAAAGAATGATGTTGTCATTTTGTATTGTTTATGATGATGATAACTAAAAAAGATTTGGCTGGTAGGTATTTCTAATCTCAAAAAATTTTAGTCAACATTTTGAGATGAAAGACTAGGATTCTCTCGACTTGGGTCCTGGGATCTCTTATGATTCATATGGCTATTATCTATCTCAATTCAGGTAATTGGTCTTCTAGCAATGATCTCACTAATTGTAAAACTATTTTTACTCCTCTCAGGCCTAATGCTAAACTTACTACTCTTGATGGCAAACCACTGAGTGATGCATTTTTTATTTATTTATTTATTTATTATTATTATTATTATTATTATTAATTGGCCGTCTTGTCTATCTCATTGCTACTTAGCTTAACTTGCTTATGTTGTTGATCAGGTCATTCAATTCCTTTTTGCACCTTGTTTTATTTGTGTTTTATTTATTTACTTATTTTTGATTGGCAAAAGAAAGATTTTATTGAAGAGAATTTTTTCTTTTACATAAACCAGCTAGGGGAAGATGCATCAAAGCTTGAAAGATGGATCCCAACTAGGTTGGCATCCAAAAGCAAGCAAAATCATGTGCAAGCCCTAACAAAAAAACTAAATGAAAGCGAGAAGCTAACAAAGAAAATACAAATAATAGGATGAAACACTAAGATCAAGGACCTTTAACACTCTTCTTCTTCGACTTGATTCTTCTAACAACATTAATGTGCAACAAGAAGTCTGAGATTGAGAATTCTTGGAACCTTGATTTTGTTTTGATCCAATAAGCAACATAAATCTTAATCGTATCAATGAGCTTTTCCCAATTCACTTGGAACCCTCGTTTTATTTATTACGGTAGTGCATCATATTCTTTGCTATAGTTAAGGCACCTTGTTTATCGTCTTCATTTTTGGGCTCACTCTTTCTTAGGATACTTGCTTACTCATATGCTAACTAGACATGTGATCATATTGATTGATGTTATACTACTAGCTTTTGCTTCTTCTTAGGTGATTCTCATATCTTATGGCAAAGAAGCTAAATTTCACGACTCTTTTAAGTGTAGAGACTGAATATCATGTTCTAGTTAATACTACATAAGAGTTCATCATGCTTCCATGGTTATTGAGAATATGAGATTTGTTTTCTGTTGTGACAATTAGAGTCTTATCCAAATTGCTCGTAATGATGTTTTGCATGAACGTAGTAAACAACCAAGATTGACTGTATTTTTGCGTCAACATTTTTTTTGTGACGCTATTCAACTTATTTCTACTTCTTCGTCTGATCAAATTGTTGACATTTTTATCAAAGCACATCCACCAGGACTGTTTCACGAGCTAGTTTCCAAATTCAAGTTAGAATATGCTCTACCACCTTGAATATAAGGAAGATTAATATATTTATAATATTTTGTGTATATAGTTATCAAATTTCCTTATGTGTTAATTAAATAGAGACGTTGCAACATAAAAACTACATGCCAGAGTAAAATTCTAAAATTCTTAAGATTGTGATTTGTAATTAGGATTCAATACTAACAATGCATAATAATTCTCAATCAAACAATCATAGATCTAATCCACTTATGAGATAATTGAATTAGGGAAAATGCTTGAAACTCTAAAAAATTCTCACAATTCGACACACAATAATGTGGTATAATAGGTGTTAGCTTTTTGACTCTCTCTCTCTCTCCCCCCCTTTTAGTCTGCTTTTTGGGTCTCCTCTTTGTTGACGAGTGTTGTTACCTACACTGTGAGTCTGTGATTATTCGTCCTCTATCGATCTATATGAAAGGGCTTCTCTAATTCTTCCATATACAATAATAATCTTATAGTTTTTTGTTGTCTATACAAAATACCCACATATATACATGAATTATACATATGTACACACACATATAAAGGAATTGTGAAATGAAAGTAGACAGCTTTATACCCAATGGAGGCCATTAAAAAGCAAGCAACCAAACTAAGGGAACAAGTAGCCAAACTATAATAGAAAGGAGCAACAAAGGGTCAAGGACTAGCAAACATAGAAGATGGAGGCTGGATACCTGTTTTTGGACATCAACAACGAAGGAGTATGGGAAATACGAGCATTCATACATTATTTGTGGACAATCTTCCAGAGTCCATGGATCCAAAAGGTCTTTATAAAATGTTCACAAAGTTCGGTGTGGTCAAAGATGTGTTCAACCCACTTAAGAGAAGAAAAACAACACGATCAAGATTTGGTTTTGTTCGTTACGATTGTCATATTGCAGTACAGGTGGCTATACAGAAGGCAAATGGTGTTTGGTGTGATAACATATTGTTGGTAGTTAAGAGCGCTGCATTTAGAAGAGATCAGAGAGATGAGGTACAACATATATGTAAGCAAGATATGCAAGACATAGGGACTAATGCGGGTTGGGTGAATAGAAGGTCATCGTTTGCAGAGGTGGTAAGAAGATGGGAGCAACCAAAACAATCGAAAGATGTAGTAATAATAGAGAAATATGGAAATAGGTGGTTACGTAAGAGTGTTGTAGCTATACTCAAGAATACTTGTCAGTTTTCAGACTTTAGGAAGGAATTTTTAAAAAGAGGTATGAAGAATGTCCGAATTTGAGAAGGTGGAGGAAGGTTAGCAATACTATCATTTGATTCGGTAGAGACATTAAGAAACATGAGAGAGATGTTGGGTGAGTGGATCAATGAATGGTGTGAAAACATAGTAGAATGGACGGCAGGTCTTGTGTTTGAACAAGAAAGGAGGTATGGTTACGATGCTATGGTATTCCATTTAATTTATGGAATACTACAAATTTCAGAAAAATTGGGGAATTATGGAGAGAGGTATTAGAGGTTAAAGAAGTTACTATGTCCATGACATCCTTAGCATATAGTAAACTGAGAATCTTAACGAAGTTTATGGAACCCATTAATAAGTGCGTCAAGTTGATAAATAAAGGCTTGGTAAGCAAAATCAGGGTGTTTGAAGAGTTATGTTTATGCCAAGAACAACAAAGGGAAGAGAACTCATCAAATTTCCAATTCATTGAAGCTCAAGGTGCAGAAATAGAAGATGGGCACGAGGAAGATGATGATGACGTGGATGAATCAGAGGATGAAATGGATGGCAATGATGATGTGTCACAGGACCGTAGGGAAGGGGCTGGTTTGACAAAAAAGGACAGCGGCAACAGTTCACTAGTTGTGTCAATAATTAATGAGACGTGCTATGAAGTGGGAGACCTAAGAGTAGCTGGGACAGGTCTGGGAAAAGAGGAAGGCATGCACAGGGTGTTGATTCAGAACAATATGAGGGGAAGTAGCAATGTTACAGGGTGTGGACCTTCTGTAGGTTTTATGAAGAGCTTAAACAATTCAGATCTGCATAGGCCCAACATTAACTTAAATGTGGTGTTGGACCAGGACCAGTTCAAGGGATTAATTGGAGGTCTGAACCAAACAATAAGTGAATGGAAACAGGATGAAGCCCAAATCACAAGATATGAATCACTAGCCCAGATATCCATTGAGGAGATTGTAAGTCCAATGGGATCAAATAGGCAACTAAATCAAGATGAGACAGAAATAAAACAGAGAAGTGTGATCAATAGAAACCAAGCACTGTTGAGTAGAAGTAGTGGTAAAGATCAGCTGAGTAGTGAGTTGAAAAGGGAAAAAAAGACTAGGGCAAAATAAGGCATGGTCAAGGTATGGTTTTCAAAGAGAAGCAATTTTGAGGGCAGCAGTAGTGGCCTTCTCATCATTTGTGTCACAAGCTAGAGATCATAATAGAACAAGGAATGTCAGAGATCAACGGTATTTGCTACATGAGGCTCAAGCTACAATCTATATTTAGAAAGCCCTGGGTGTGGATTTTGAAGGTAAGGAAAGAGAGGTGACAGAGAAAATTATCACAATGAAAAGAAATGATAGGACTCAGGCTTTAAAGAGGGTTAAGTGTAATAACCCCGATCCGTAATTAGCTACTAATCTGTAATTAATGATGCTAATGAGAGAATTAAAATAAATTATGGTTTATTATGTAAATTGCACGATAGTTGGCTTTCTATCTGTTACTTGTAGAAATATCTGTTTGGAATTCCGCTTTAATATGTAAATTGAAAGCCTCATCGGCATTCGAAACTGGAATTGATTACATCAATAGGTTATTTGGAATTTTTAGAATCATATGGCAAGTTTTATTAAAAATTGATTCGGAACGATTCATTAAGTTACGTTTGCAAGCCTTATGTTTTAATTAATGTATTTTAGCATCATAGCTATATATTTGAGCCATAAGCTCATTTTTGAGCTCAATTCTTTTACCTCTTAGTGCCAAAATCTGAGATTCATTTTAGAGAGAGAGAGAGTGCAATTCTAGAGAGAGAGAGAGAGATGAAGGGATTGAAGAAGAATTGAAGGTTTTGTGTTGAATTCATCAAGATTGTGCTAGAACAAGAGTAATTCAAGACTCTAGGTAAGATTGCAACCTCTAGATTGTGCATCTAAGTCATTTAACATGAGTTTTCTTCAAGATTACGTGTTTAAATTGTGTTCATGAGATTAGGATGAATGAATTGTTGCTAAGTTATACATGCATGTCTAAATTTGTCAAGAGCTCCCATGTTTGAGCATCATTCATGCCATTAGAGATGAAATTACAGGCTAGAGGTCACATGCATGTTTGAATTATCATGTTTTGAACCTTGTTTCATGTTTTGGAAAATAATTTCTTACATGCATGGAGTTTATGAGCTCAAATTTGCTAACTTCATGAGTTTTGGAGAAAAGAGTTGTATGTTCTACATGCATTGAAGTTTTGGTTCTAATTTTGGTAAATTCATGGGTTTTGACTAAAAAGAATTGGTGAAAATCATATATTCATGTTTATGAATAAGTTTTCCAAGTTTATGAACAAGCTTTGCACGAATTTGCCATTGAAACTGCATTTTGAAGTTCAAAACTCTGTTTTTGGAAACCCAGAATTTCACAGTCCGCTCAAGCGAGGAAACCTACGCTCGAGCGGAGATTGCGAGCCCTCAGTATTTTTTTGCAAGCATGAGCGCTCCGCTCGAGCGACCAAAGTCACGCTCGAGCGAACCCTTGTATATTGTTGAGTCGCTCGAGCGTTGGATTTGTAGCTCGAGCGTGTATTGAGACCAACTAGTACTTTTTCTGAGTTTACAGTCTGCTCGAGCGAGGGAAGTCACGCTCGAGCGTAACCACACGTTTTGCATGTCCGCTTGAGCGAGGAAAGCTATGGTCGAGCGGGGACCTTATTTGCTGAAAAATTTACCAAGTGTTTCAATTCATGTTTTGGCTTCCTCATTGCATCTTAGGCATTCCTAAGACTTAATTAAGGCATGGTAATGAGGTTATGGATTATAAACACACTAAGTAAAGAATGTACTAAGTTACGAGATTCAAGAGTGTGTTTTCATCTATGGGATAAGAAAGAACAAGAATTAATGTAAAGTAAGCTAAGCTGTATTGGCCACATGAATGTGTAATGATAAGACGTGCTTGTCTTATGTACTTTGTGGTTGTAGGTCAAGACTCAAGGATTGATTGACCGCTTACTAGAACCACTGTGAGTAACGTTATCGTAAAGATACGTTCATATGAATTATGTTCCAAATGAATTATGATAAGTTACTATTTCTGAAATGATATCTGTTTTCGTGAATGAACATCCCAAATTTGAAATCTATTATGGCATCCATAAATAGTCCCAAATCATGGGGGACAGCATGAAAATGCGGGTCCATGACATACAAGTTTACAAGATCTCGTTAGCTACTTCATTGTGGTGATATGTGTTTAATCGGTATCCGGAACCGATTACTCTAGTTGGAAGACGTTCTGTGATGTGTTCTATGGGATGTACCATTATTATGTTCTGATATGAGGATAATTATACTATAATCTGTTTTTTGCTTATGATATGTTCGGATTTCGTTCACTAACCCCTTTACCTTAATGTTATTCACTGGGCTTTAACTCACTGTTTGTATATATATATGTATAGATGAGTATTCTGGAGTTCGAGCTTGAAGGCTTTTGTTTGGATCTGTGTTCCGTTGTCAACCAACCATTGTGCCTCATGTTGAGGTTCCCGAAGCATCCTGTGTTTAAGTTCTGTGGTTTTTGTTTATATAAGACTTGATTTGATGTCGTTGGCTGTACTTAAAATACTGTAATGTGTGTGGGTATAATGTATGGTTGACTACCAGTTATATATATAAATTTTTAAATATTTTGTTTCATATAAGTCAGCATAGCTCATTGGATAACTATATTTATGTATTTGCTTCCGCTAGCCCCTTAATCTTGTTAATCTGTTCAGAGGCTTTTGGTAATCCAAGGATTACAGGCCGGTTACGATGCTAAACCTATGAGGGCGGGTTTGGGTCATGACATTAAGGGAGTGAGTGCTTGAATGAGCAATTTTGAAGATGTAGGAGTTAAAATATTTGGCCATGAAGATAATATCTTGGAATATAAGAGCGTTAGGTAAGATTGAGAAGAAAAGGAGAATAAAAGAGTTCATCAGACACAGAAAGATTGACATGGTTCTGTTTCAAGAAACAAAAAGATCAAAAATGTCAGAATTATTTGTCAAATCACTGTGACCGGAAGAGTTGGCTGGCTTCATGGCAGTGGATTCTGGTGGAATTGAGGAAGGATTGCTTTGCGTATGGAGGCCTGAGGTATTTGATCTGATTGACTGTTGCAGTAACCGAAATTGTATCATACTCTCAGGTAAGATGCATCAGTTAATTGAATGTGTGGTTGTAAATGTTTATGCACCCAATGATAGGAGTATGAGAAGGAATTTATGGAAAATTTTGGGTAATCTAAAGCTTAAGTTTTCCAAACCATGGTGCATTTGGGGTGATTTTAATGAAGTTAGAACAGTGGCTGAAAGAAAATGTTGTATTAGGAAGAATGGTGGAATGAATGAGTTCAATGATTTTATAAATTCATTGGAGTTAGTGGATGTTCCAATTATTGGAATGAGGTATACGTGGTGCAAATCGCAGGAAGGGGAGAGGTGAAGTAGATTGAATAGATTCTTAGTCTGCTTTGAATGGTTAGAATGGTTTAGTTTCAAATTGTGGGGGTTACCTAGAGTATTATCTGACCACTGCCCAATATTACTAATGGAGAATAAGAGGGATTGTGGGCCTAAACCATTTAGATTCCTCAATGCTTGGGTTCTCCACCCCACCTTTTTGATTAAGGTAAAATTAGTTTGCGATAGTACTCAGGTAGATGAATGGGCTGGGTACAGACTCAAGGTTAAACTGAAATCCCTGAAGAAAGCACTGAAAGTACCGAATATTGAAGTGTTTGGGAATGTTGAGCACAAGCTCAAAGAGGCAGAGGATGCAACGCATGCATTAGACTTGGCTGCTGAGGTTAGGCCTTTGAATGTTATTGAATTATCAAGAAAAAGAGAGGTAAAATGGGAGATTTAGAAGCTGAGAAAAATGAAGGAATGGTTTTGGGTGTAGAAATCCAGAGTAAACTGGCTGTAAAAAGGGATAGAAATACTAGGTATTTCCATATCATGGCTAGAAAGAGGCTGAATAAAAACCTGATGGATTCCATCATCATTGAGGGTACTTCTTACACCAAACCTATAGAGATGAAATGGGAAATTACAAGGTATTTTGGAGAGGCATTTGTGGAAAATTGAAAGTTTAGACCAAAGATTGGTAGAGCTTTTAGGTCAATTGAACCTCATCAAGCTGAGTTGATGGTGAAAGAGTTTTCTGAATTAGAAGTACGTGTTGCCGTTAAGGGGTGTGATGGGAATAAAGCCCCTGGGCCTAATGGATTTAATTTGATTTGCATCCAAAAGGGGTGAAGGATAATGAAGGATGATATTCTTCAATTTATGGCAGAGTTTCATGTGAATGGGAGGTTGGTGAAGGGCCTGAATGCTTCCTTCGTATCATTAATTCCTAATAAGGAAAACCCAACAAGTATCTAAGATTTTAGGCTAATCAGTCTCATAAATTCCATGTACAAGATTCTATCAAAAGTCTTAGCTAGTAGATTAAGACAAGTGTTACCAAGAATCATTAGCTCAACACAATCTGCATTCCTGGATGGGAGAAGCATACTGAATGGGATATTAGTAACAAATGAAGTGATAGACTGGTGGAAAAGATCAAAGAAAAGTGGCCTAATTTTGAAATTGATTTTGAAAAAGCTTATGATGAAGTAAATTGGAGCTTTTTGTTTGATATGTTGGGCAAGTTTGGGTTTGAGACCAAATGGGTGGAATGGATGAGGTCTTGTGTAGGTTCAGTCAAAGTATCATTCCTAGTTAATGGCTCTCCATCTGAGGAAGTGTGCCCCAAAAAGGGTTGAGGCAAGAGGATCCAATCTCACCATCTTTGTTCATTATCATAGCTGAAGGGCTGAATATGTTGTTATTAAGAGCCAGAGAACTAGGAATGATAAAATGGGTCATTATTGGTGATGAAGGTTTGACGTTATCGCATCTACAATTTACTGATGGCACAGTCTTATTTTGTGAGACAGATTGGGTGGAAGTTTCAAATGTGAAGAGAATTTTAAAATGTTTTGAAGTAGTATCTGGATTAAAGATCAATTATCATAAGAGTGCTATTAGTGGAGTCAGTATTGAGGAGGCTACGGTTGCTGATTTTGCTTCAAGATTAAATTGCATGAGTCAAAAATTGCCTTTTAGGTACTTGGGTATGCCTTTAGGGGCTAATCTTAGAAGATAACAAATTTGGAAACCTGTGGTGGATAAGTTCAAGGAAAAATTAGCTAGATGGAAGAGAAAAGTGCTTTCATTTGCTGGTAGAGTGACTCTAATTAAGTCTATGTTTTCTAACCTGCCAGTTTATTACATGTCCTTATTTAAGCTGCCTAAAGGAATAGCAAAAGAGATTGATAAGATACAATCAGCATTCCTGTGGGGTGACACTAATCTGAAGAGGAAGTTACACTTAGTGAAGTGGAAGGAAGCAACAGTGAGCAAAAATCTTGGAGGATTGGGTATTAGGGACATTACAACAGTAAATGATAGTTTATTGGCCAACTGGTGGTGGAGGTTTGGGGCTGAAGAGGATGCACTATAGAAGATTTTGATTTGTAAAAGGTACGGAACTGAAGGTGGGAGATGGTTTCCTTTTCATATGGTTGATTGTCATAGCTCAAGGATCTGGAGTGATATCCTATCTGTAGCACATTCCAATCCTAGGCTACTGAATTTCTTTCTGGAAAATGTTGAAATCAGAGTGGGGAGTGGGAATAGGATTAAATTATGGGAGGATGCTTGGCTGAACGGTATCTGTTTGAAGGATAAATATCCAAGACTTTTTAGCATTTCTACTGATAAAGGGGTATCACTAAAAGAAATGGTGGGCAGAAAAGGTAATCATGCTGATTGGATTTTCAGTTTTAGAAGATTTTTACTTGCGTAAAAAGAGAAGGATGTAAGAATTTTGAAAGAGGAATTAGGCTCTGGACCAAGACTGTGCCTGGAAAACTTGGTTAACATTAGATGAAATGATGATAGTTCTGGTTGTTTCAATATAAAGTTAGTTTTCAACTTGTGTGAGCTAATTCATGGATCTCGGAAAAGGTTATCTGGTTTAATTTGGAACAATGCAGTAGCTCTAAAAGCACAATTCTTTGCTTGGTTGGTGTGGAAAGGGAGAATAAAGACAATGGACTTCCTACATCAGATTGGGGTTGTTGACACAAGAGTGGGATTATTATGTGCTCTTTGTAGAACAGAGGAGGAGTCATTAAATCATATTATGTTACATAGTCATTTAGTGTGGAATATATGGTCTAGCATAATCAATTGGTGGGGAATGCAATGGGCAGTACCTGGTACAGTGGAAGGACTGCTTTAGTGGTGAAGTGGCTGAAAGTTTAAAAAAGGGGAATTACAAATATGGAAAGCAATACCAGTAACAATCTTCTGGTTTGTTTAGAAGTACAGAAATGATGTTATTTTCAAATAAGTATAACCTAATTGTGAAGAGCTGTGTGAGCTAATCAAGGTTAGGGTAGCCATGTGTTTGAAGTCAAATATGACAGGAAGAGATTATTATATTAATCGGTTTGTTTCAAATTTGCAATAGATCAGGAGATGTATCAAGTGAGGCGTGATGGGGATATGGATGGGTATTGGTGTATAAAACAGAGGAAATGTATGGCTCTATTGCTGATCTGTTCCTATGTATGTTACTGACCTGTTGATGGTTTTTGCTCAATTGCTAGTTTTTTATCTGCTCTGATCTGTTACTGATCTGTATGTGTGTTACTGTTCTTGGGCTATAGGAGTATTGGGCTGCTGGTGGTGTTTTTTCTTGTTGGTTGCTATTGGTATTTGCTGCTGCTCGTGGTTTGTTTATTGGGCTGCTGCTGCTACTATTGGTGGTTTATTGGAGTTTTTTCGTTTTTTGGGCTTGGTTTCTCACTAACCCTCTGACTTGAGCTAGCATATGATAGAGCGTTTCTCTTGGTGCCAACCTAGTTGGGATGAAGGGAAGCTCTGTGATGCTTCTTGCTCTTTGCCTTCGCTTTATTGATGTTATCTATATGTTTATATGTTTGATGCTATCAATAAAGTTTTTTTTTTGGCTGATCAAAAAAATATAGGTGTTAGCTTTTGATTTGTTACATACATAATAATATAGGGCACAATTCCTTTACCAAATCAATGTAGGTGAATTTGTAGGTTTAAAGTGTAGTTCTCTAGCATTTCTCTCAAATTAGATCTACTATCAAGGAACAATAATGGACACAATGATTTTACGTGAAAAAACCAAAATTCCAAAATTGGACTCCTTCAATTGTGATCTAAAATCACGGGTCAACAACCACCAAAGTAATCCACTACGAATAAGATTAGAGAAGGAATCACCTAGTAAATCCACTCCCAATTGCCTCAAATCCCTCGTGCTTCTTCCATTGCCATCTTCAACTCGGAATTGTTTCTCCAAATGTTGAATTTACAATGCCTATGTCGAATCCAAGAAGAAAAGCCGCTTCGAAATCCACTGATGAACATCTCTCTAAGAAGTATAATTAAAGTAGAAAACACTTTGATGATCTTCAATATAGAGTATGTTGATCCAATTATCACTATTAGTTGATCAAGGTACATGTGTATATCTCACTAGAAAACTCTCTATCTATGTTTTTCGCACACCAGGTATGAATATTTGAAAGTCTAGCTTCAATCTAATCTAAAAACGCATTATTAAGTGATAGTAACCAACTTAGACCACTCGAGCGCAACTTTCTATGCTCGAGCACACTTTATGACTTTGCAGTATTTGACTATCACTACAAGAAAAATGAGTTTTGGCGACGTTTATTTAACGGCGTTTTTTAAACGTCGCTTTTTTAAAAATCAAAACGGCACCGTTTTAATAACCAAAGGCGTTTGAAAGCGCCTTCGAATGTCCTATCTCTCTCTTTCAAATGGGCGAGCGGTGAATATCAAATATAATACATTTTGTAGCCCTATTGTCTTACTCACTCACTCACTCTCTCTCTCTCTCTCAACCGTCTCAACAAATCGATTCATCTCTCACTGTAGCCCTAATCGAAGTTCTCTCTCTCTCTCTCGATTTCAATTTCGATTTCGAAATCTATGTTTCGATGATTCTCTCTCAATTTCGAAGCTTATTTTGAATCTGAGATCATTCTCACAGATTCATCTTTGAGATTCAGAGCGATTTCGATTTTGAAGCTCCACCGCCACCACCGTCTGCACCGGCTCGATTTCTCTGATTTCAATTTCATCTGCATTTGTAATTGCAATTTCGATTTCGAAGCTCCATCGCCACCGCCACCTCCACCGCCACCGCCACCGCCATCTGCACCAGCGAGGTATCAATTTCTCTCTCTCTCTTTCTCAAGCTCTTCTTTCCCGTCTCTCTCGATTTGGTTATTGAAATTGAAATTGTAAGAAAGAAACTACAAGTTGATTTGTGTCTGAACACATCCTTTTCTTCTTTTCTTCACTCTCTGCTTCGTTGAACTAGATTTAAGTATTTGCTTCAAGTCCGGATGTGAGCGAGAGAGAGAGAGAGAGGAGGAGGAGGAGGAGGAGGAGTTGATTTGTGTCTAAACACATCCTTTTTTGATCTGTTATGTTGAAAAAGTTGAAAGATCTCTGAATATACACTTACCCATATATACATTTACTTTCCTTTTTCAAGATTCTCTTTAGCTTGAGGTACGAATCTCCAATCTGTTCATTTTCTCTACCTTCAAATCTTGTGTGTATGTATATTTGGATTTATTTGTGTATATTACGTGTTTGTTTATATGCCAAGCTCAAGTTGAAGTTCTCCATTTCTTGTTCTCTGTTAGATTTCTTTTTTTTTTTTGCCCCTTTTTCCCCTGGGTTTTAGACATTAATAGGAAACTATAGACAAACTTTCCAAATATATGGATCACCTTTAAAAATTTGCAATTCATGGGTTGAATTAGGTGCATGCATGATGGTCATTGGCTAATAAAAAATGCTGATTAAAGTTTAAAGGATATTTTGTGGGGCTTTTTTCACTCCTGTCCAAGCCATAGAAGAGACTACCGTGCTTTGTGTTTACTTGGATTTTAGATTCCACTAATGCTTTTGATGTCTATTTTTTTTTTATTCACCTGATTTGAGGACTGTTTGCACTTTTTCCCTCCAGAAATGTTCTCTGGAAGGTAAGTCATTGCTTCCATATTTTCTTTGGTTTACATTTCTGAAACTCTTTTCCAATATTTTTGATATCTTGGAGTTCTATCTGTTCTGTTAGATCTGGATCTTGGACTGGTGGCGAGGGGGTTTGGGTTGAATTATCTGGAAAAATGCATGTCTTAGCCCAGTCTCTCTCCCAGCTGTACCAGAGAATAGATGATCGAATTGTCTTGGTCTCAAACTACACACAGGTAGTTCTTAGATTGATTCTTGCCAACTGAAGTAACTGGTTAGTCTGAAGTACAAATCAAACAATGTATTGTTGCCTTAGCTTTTTGTCTCACACAAAACACATAGTTCTTAGAAGCTGCAGCCATGTGGGAACTATTTGGATGCTGTAGTTTTCGCGCTCCCAAAAAAGAACTCAGAAAAATGTTCTCATAGTGAAATTGATATTTTTTTTTTTTGTGCTTATGAGAATGTTTACTGCTATGCAAGTTGTCTGGTTATGTTTCCTGTCCATCAAGCAATTACTTGTGGCACTTCTTTTCCCATAAGATTATTATTATTATTATTATTATTTTTGGTTTTGTTTGGTGTTAAATAACTTAGTTTTAATTCGTCAGACATTGGACCTTTTGCTCAATTGTGTCGGGAGAGAAGATATCTGTTCCTATGGCTTGATGGAACTACATCAATCAGTAAAAGGAAAAAGTTGGTGAACCGCTTTAATGATCCATCTAAGGTACATAATTTTTGGTCCATTAATTGAATATGCAACTATGTGAGCTGACTTGATGAAACAAGTTCAATTTACATCTGTCAGGAAGAGTTTGTCTTTCTCTTGAGCAGCAAGGCTAGTGGTTGTGGCCTCAATTTGATAGGTGGGAATCGACTGGTCTTATTTGACCCTGATTGGAATCTTGCCAATGACAAACAAGTAATTACTTTCCCTAAATTTTCATACAGGACCTTGACGTGTTTCAAAAAAGAAATTACCCTATTGTTTTTCCATGGCTTCTGTGTTTTTGTCTTTTATTGTTATTATTATTATTTTTTGACTCATGCAGGCTGCTGCAAGAGTCTGGAGAGATGGACAAAAAAAGTGAGTGTATATCTATAGATTTTTGAGTACTAGAACCATTGAAGAAAAGGTTTTGACACATCAATAATTTAGTTAATGTTATTACCACTTTTGTTGCAGTTTGAGAACTTGATGCGTGATTTGTCTTTGTTGCTTTTAAGAACCGCTCTAATCTTCTGCAGGTGTACCAGTGTCAGATGTCGAAAGAAGGGCTTCAAAAAGTTATTCAACAGGAACAAATAGATAAAGCTAAGGACCAGGTACTTGTTCTGATGCAGCCGTGGTGCTATTGGAAATGCCTTTAAATGTATAACAGCAACAGTGGTAATTACAGGGGAACTTTCTCTCAACAGAAGATCTATGGGATCTGTCCACATTTCGTGAGAATGTGAGGTACGTGTCTCCTCACATTTCGTGAGAATCGTTAGATGCATTACTGGATGGTTTCATCTTTATATATGCAAGCTTAAACAATACATGTGCTTGTGCTTGGTGCTTGGTGCTTGCTCCCTTTTTCACTTTCGAAAACTTATTTGAGATTTTCACGTGAGATGCATGAAATTGTTGTGCTACCTGACATGTAGGTGCCATAGACAAGTGCCCCACTCCCTACTGCTGTCATGTTTCATTATTTTCCATTTTGTTTTGTTGTCATGTTTTCCTCATGGACTAAGACTAAAAGGATAATACTTCGCATTGGAATAGTAATTATGGAAACAACTATCAGATTTTGAATGTTGGGAGTAGACATGTCTAGAAACTTTTATTTGATTTTTATTGATTACAAACTTTGAAAACTCTTTGTTGGAAGTCATAAATGCGCAGAGTTTCTTTGGTTAATGTCTTGGCATATCAGATGGATTGATGGTTTTTGGTACAAATCTTGGGCATAGATTGTTGGGCTTTTATTGTCCAATAGATTGGTGATGTGCTAGGGGAGTGCAACAAATGATGAGAAATTAGAAATAATAGAAAATATATATTGTTTGTAGGAAGCCAGAAAACTGGCAAATTACTTCATGTGATGCCATTGAAGAGTTCATGGCTGTGATTTGAAATCCTGCAGGTATGATTCTGCTGTTCTATCTAGCGTCACATTAATGCTCTTTGCATGCGTTGTGTGGCTGAAGTTGGTATCCTATATGCACTTACAAATTATGACATGAGAGCGCTTGCTAAGTCACTTGATAAGGTAAGAACCGAGATCTTTTTTTTTTTTTCCTTTCCAAATACCTGCACAAATCCATTATCCAAACAGGCTTAGTGATTCTGATGAATACAAATACTGGAACATATTTCTATTTCATTTGTTTCAATATAGGCAGTTCATTGGGAGCTTTTAATTGATTATTGTATTCAATCCACTTGCATAATACAACTACAAACCCATTACATAGGCAACAGGTATTTTAATTATTTTTACTAGTTATTACTTTAAATTGCTTAGAGCTAATATACAACTTAAGCCTCTTATTGAATGATAGGTTGTGGATTCACTTAGTAGTCATCCCACTGTTTGGCCAATGTCACATCAACAACAATCTCATGCATTTTCATCTCAAGAGATGAGCAATCATTTAATCAAAGCTTTTTTGACAAATACCATATCTTATTAATTACAATACTTGCTCTTATTAAATATAGGTGCACCTTTCAAAGAAAGAGAAGAAGAAGAACTAACAAGGTACAAGTACTAACATCACTAGTTTTTAATTTTTCACTTTTCTAAATTTATTAAGACATGATGTTTGCTTAATGTTTAATAGTGAGTCAATTCAACAAATAAAAGAATAGATAATTCTAAAACTACCGATCATAAAAAGGATAAACCTATTTAATTCGGTTTGCCCAAACATGGCCTTGGTAATATATTGCAGCCTCTAATTCATCGCTTTTCATTCCAATACCACCGAAGCCTACCTAACACAGAGCAATGAAATTGCACTGAATACTACACAGAGCAACGCGTCCGAGTCAACTCTATTTCTCAGCTCTTTCTGTGATCACGACCAACACGCTTCGATTCCGTTGTTTCGATTTGACTCTGTAACTAAGTAATCCTTCTCTCCCGATACCAATCACATACAATACGCATATAAAGATTTGTATATATTTCAGTATCTGGTGAAAATTTTTATATACAGACCTTTATACAACAATGAACCCACTGCTAAATCCAACTAAACAAAACAATGAGACCTAAACACAACATTTGTTTGAATCATTTGTTCGAATATTTGGTATGGAATTAGGTTTTTTTTATTTGGTTGTGGAATTAGAACTTCCGGGATTGTATGGTGATCAAATATTTGTTCGAATCATTTTTCTTCTTGTTGTTTAATTGGAAAAGTTTTGTGCTGTTTGTTTCCTGAGAAATATGGCTGCTGAAATGGATAATTGGGGTTTCAATTCTGGGGATTGTCATCTAAAATTGTGAAATTTATGAATATATGCACATATATATTAATGTGTGAATTATTCCCAAGCAGCTTAAAAAGCTTATAGTTTATTTTTGTAGCTGCTTCTGTTAATTGACTATTGGAATAAACAGTGGTACATTTTGATATGTTGCTTGGGTATGTTGCTAATATTACCTTTCTGTTATATTTACCTTTTGTGTTTACAAAGGTTGAAATTCTGTTATGTTTCAAAGTAAGCAAAATTGAGTTCAATATACTACTATTACTACATAATCAACAAATATTGAAGGAAAACTGCTCTTTTGATTTTGATTGTTCAATCAATTTGATAGAGTGGTCTTTTTCACTGGTTTAGTTTTTAAATTATTAAAACTAAATTGACACTTTCCAAATTTAATTTATTCTAGTTCTTGTGAAGCAGGTGCTGAATGCTGGAAAAAATAAGCTTAAATCAATGGATGAGGTCAAATCTCTTTTGAGCTTACGTGCATTGATCTTGAATGGTAGGATCCATCTTGACCAACTGCATCACCTCAGTTTTTAATTTCTGATGTATATAGTAATTTTGTTGGTTGGAAAATTACAATTTTAAATTTCCTTATTTCCGCTAATGAATCCCCCTTTGTGCAGATTAACTTGTGCATGAAGGTCTTAAATACATGTTTCAAGATAAAGGCCTTGTAACTATGAGTTGTGAAGTCTTTAACTCAGTGTATTATGTTACATGGACACTTCTAAACATATGGCTGGAGTAAGGATATGGGCTGTGTGTCCGACATGTCCAGTCAAAACTGGGCCCAACAAGCATGTTTATTTAAATAGGAATTAAGGATTAATATTAAGTGGTTTTTTCCCTTTTAAATATTATTTTTTTAATATAAAATTGTAACTCTTTTATTGTGTAATATTGTTCTGTACATTAGGTACTATGTAACAAGAGTGTTATTCTTTTTTTGTAATCTAGGTCATTTAATAAATAAATAAATAAAAAAACTTGATGGGTATGGAAGGATTGGATTTAGAAGAAGGAGTTATTGTCCGTTTTATATGTGCATATGCATAAATCAAAGAACAGATTTAGGGAAATAGTCATATCAGAATTTTTTTGACAGTTTTCTTTACCTTCTATTATTATATTCAGGTAATCTTCGGATTCAACAGAGTTCTAGAAGGGAGTTGTTGTGTTCTTGCTGCTATAGATTCTGCTCTTGCATGTTTCCATTACATAACTTTGAAATGTTGGTTATAGATAATTTCTAAGCAAGAACATGATTTGGGTACAATAGGATTGGATGTGAAAGAAGAAATTCTCATTCTTTTTCATTCCTCGATAGCTTTGATAAGTACATATGCATAATTCAAGGGAGAGAAATAAGGAAATAGTTATATCAAAAGGTTATGTGGGGAGCAAGCAGTCCTCTAGTTTTGAGGATACTAATTCTGCTAAAGAGAAAGCTAAATCTATCTATCCACCTATAGAAAGCCATTGGAATTTACCTCCTCAAAAGGAGTACAAGAAATTGTCTTCATTAAACTTAAATTGCAAGTCCATGTTGTCTTACCCACTCAAGATTCGGGATTCACTAAAGAGAATTAGAAAGAGCCAAAGCTTGCTAGCAGTTCCCAAAGAAGCTCGTGATCCAAAAGATGATCAAATTGTTCAATCTTTCCGTGAATTGCTTTTGCTCGAGGGCCATCTGCCAGGGAAACACAGTGTGATTACCACACACTTTTACGGTATGTTTCTGCTGTGACATTTTTACATACATATATTAGGTTTGTGGATACCATATTCTGAATCTGAGTAAACAAAATTTGAATCTTACCTACTTTATAGTTGATTCTGTTATGGGAAAGAATGCAGAGTATGTGGGCTATTTATTGGGAATTTGAATCCCAAATGAAAGGCCCACTGTTTTGAATCAAATATAAGATATTTATTGGGTATTTGTGCATGTGCCTTCAGAAATTGCTGTTCTGTTGTTTGATTCTCCTCTTGAGCTCTGTTCTGTTCCTCACTGTCACTGCGAGATCGCCGATCTTTAAGGTATGTTTCGTTTCTCTACTTTCTTTTTGATCTATACAAATTGCATATATATATATATATATATGTGTGTGTGTGTGTGTGTGTATGTATATGATTGTGTTTATGAAGTTTAATTTGATTGTTGATTGTTTGTTATTTGAGCTTCAAATATGTGATTCTGTCTGTTTAGTTACTGAAAAACAGTTTAATCTGTGATTTTGTAGCTTATGTTGACTTTACAGGCACTTCCATCAATTGAAAAGGACAACATGCCTATACTGAAGGTATGGTATTTGATTAATTCTGAGTGTTTAGATGTTCATTCTGCAGTCAATTCAGGTAATGGGTTAGATGCTATTAAATTCAGTTTTTGTGTTATTCAAAAAAAGGTACTCGAATTTCTTCCTGAGCGAACTTTTTGTGTTATTTTTTTCTTTTTTTATCTTGATTTTTTGCATTCTTATTAGTGAACTTTTTTGCAGTATTTCCCAGCCAAGCTGAGATGGTGAACATTCCAAATTGAAGACACTGATTTGAGAAATCACAGATTTTATTTTATTTTTCTTTTTGTGATTGATTCATGCACTTGTATAAAATACAACAGGGATTTGTGGGTTCTTTGTAAATCTTCTGATGTGTTCTAGAAATATTCTATCAATAAACAATTTAAATGCATTTGGTCAAGATAAAACATACACAGGTAGAATGATGTTGGGATTGAAATTATTGGATTTTTTTTCTTGAAGGATGTATTGTGTGATCTAAATGTTTTTAACCACACTTAAAAGGTGTGATCTAAATGTTTTTAACCACACTTAAAAGGTGTGATCTAAATGTTTTTAACCACACTTAAAAGGTGTGATCTAAATGTTTTTAACCACACTTAAAAGGTGTGATCTAAATGTTTTTAACCACACTTAAAAGGTGTGATCTAAATGTTTTTAACCACACTTAAAAGGTGTGATCTAAATGTTTTTAACCACACTTAAAAGGTGTGATCTAAATGTTTTTAACCACACTTAAAAGGTGTGATCTAAATGTTTTTAACCACACTTAAAAGGTGTGATCTAAATGTTTTTAACCACACTTAAAAGGTGTGATCTAAATGTTTTTAACCACACTTAAAAGGTGTGATCTAAATGTTTTTAACCACACTTAAAAGGTGTGATCTAAATGTTTTTAACCACACTTAAAAGGTGTGATCTAAATGTTTTTAACCACACTTAAAAGGTGTGATCTAAATGTTTTTAACCACACTTAAAAGGTGTGATCTAAATGTTTTTAACCACACTTAAAAGGTGTGATCTAAATGTTTTTAACCACACTTAAAAGGTGTGATCTAAATGTTTTTAACCACACTTAAAAGGTGTGATCTAAATGTTTTTAACCACACTTAAAAGGTGTGATCTAAATGTTTTTAACCACACTTAAAAGGTGTGATCTAAATGTTTTTAACCACACTTAAAAGGTGTGATCTAAATGTTTTTAACCACACTTAAAAGGTGTGATCTAAATGTTTTTAACCACACTTAAAAGGTGTGATCTAAATGTTTTTAACCACACTTAAAAGGTGTGATCTAAATGTTTTTAACCACACTTAAAAGGTGTGATCTAAATGTTTTTAACCACACTTAAAAGGTGTGATCTAAATGTTTTTAACCACACTTAAAAGGTGTGATCTAAATGTTTTTAACCACACTTAAAAGGTGTGATCTAAATGTTTTTAACCACACTTAAAAGGTGTGATCTAAATGTTTTTAACCACACTTAAAAGGTGTGATCTAAATGTTTTTAACCACACTTAAAAGGTGTGATCTAAATGTTTTTAACCACACTTAAAAGGTGTGATCTAAATGTTTTTAACCACACTTAAAAGGTGTGATCTAAATGTTTTTAACCACACTTAAAAGGTGTGATCTAAATGTTTTTAACCACACTTAAAAGGTGTGATCTAAATGTTTTTAACCACACTTAAAAGGTGTGATCTAAATGTTTTTAACCACACTTAAAAGGTGTGATCTAAATGTTTTTAACCACACTTAAAAGGTGTGATCTAAATGTTTTTAACCACACTTAAAAGGTGTGATCTAAATGTTTTTAACCACACTTAAAAGGTGTGATCTAAATGTTTTTAACCACACTTAAAAGGTGTGATCTAAATGTTTTTAACCACACTTAAAAGGTGTGATCTAAATGTTTTTAACCACACTTAAAAGGTGTGATCTAAATGTTTTTAACCACACTTAAAAGGTGTGATCTAAATGTTTTTAACCACACTTAAAAGGTGTGATCTAAATGTTTTTAACCACACTTAAAAGGTGTGATCTAAATGTTTTTAACCACACTTAAAAGGTGTGATCTAAATGTTTTTAACCACACTTAAAAGGTGTGATCTAAATGTTTTTAACCACACTTAAAAGGTGTGATCTAAATGTTTTTAACCACACTTAAAAGGTGTGATCTAAATGTTTTTAACCACACTTAAAAGGTGTGATCTAAATGTTTTTAACCACACTTAAAAGGTGTGATCTAAATGTTTTTAACCACACTTAAAAGGTGTGATCTAAATGTTTTTAACCACACTTAAAAGGTGTGATCTAAATGTTTTTAACCACACTTAAAAGGTGTGATCTAAATGTTTTTAACCACACTTAAAAGGTGTGATCTAAATGTTTTTAACCACACTTAAAAGGTGTGATCTAAATGTTTTTAACCACACTTAAAAGGTGTGATCTAAATGTTTTTAACCACACTTAAAAGGTGTGATCTAAATGTTTTTAACCACACTTAAAAGGTGTGATCTAAATGTTTTTAACCACACTTAAAAGGTGTGATCTAAATGTTTTTAACCACACTTAAAAGGTGTGATCTAAATGTTTTTAACCACACTTAAAAGGTGTGATCTAAATGTTTTTAACCACACTTAAAAGGTGTGATCTAAATGTTTTTAACCACACTTAAAAGGTGTGATCTAAATGTTTTTAACCACACTTAAAAGGTGTGATCTAAATGTTTTTAACCACACTTAAAAGGTGTGATCTAAATGTTTTTAACCACACTTAAAAGGTGTGATCTAAATGTTTTTAACCACACTTAAAAGGTGTGATCTAAATGTTTTTAACCACACTTAAAAGGTGTGATCTAAATGTTTTTAACCACACTTAAAAGGTGTGATCTAAATGTTTTTAACCACACTTAAAAGGTGTGATCTAAATGTTTTTAACCACACTTAAAAGGTGTGATCTAAATGTTTTTAACCACACTTAAAAGGTGTGATCTAAATGTTTTTAACCACACTTAAAAGGTGTGATCTAAATGTTTTTAACCACACTTAAAAGGTGTGATCTAAATGTTTTTAACCACACTTAAAAGGTGTGATCTAAATGTTTTTAACCACACTTAAAAGGTGTGATCTAAATGTTTTTAACCACACTTAAAAGGTGTGATCTAAATGTTTTTAACCACACTTAAAAGGTGTGATCTAAATGTTTTTAACCACACTTAAAAGGTGTGATCTAAATGTTTTTAACCACACTTAAAAGGTGTGATCTAAATGTTTTTAACCACACTTAAAAGGTGTGATCTAAATGTTTTTAACCACACTTAAAAGGTGTGATCTAAATGTTTTTAACCACACTTAAAAGGTGTGATCTAAATGTTTTTAACCACACTTAAAAGGTGTGATCTAAATGTTTTTAACCACACTTAAAAGGTGTGATCTAAATGTTTTTAACCACACTTAAAAGGTGTGATCTAAATGTTTTTAACCACACTTAAAAGGTGTGATCTAAATGTTTTTAACCACACTTAAAAGGTGTGATCTAAATGTTTTTAACCACACTTAAAAGGTGTGATCTAAATGTTTTTAACCACACTTAAAAGGTGTGATCTAAATGTTTTTAACCACACTTAAAAGGTGTGATCTAAATGTTTTTAACCACACTTAAAAGGTGTGATCTAAATGTTTTTAACCACACTTAAAAGGTGTGATCTAAATGTTTTTAACCACACTTAAAAGGTGTGATCTAAATGTTTTTAACCACACTTAAAAGGTGTGATCTAAATGTTTTTAACCACACTTAAAAGGTGTGATCTAAATGTTTTTAACCACACTTAAAAGGTGTGATCTAAATGTTTTTAACCACACTTAAAAGGTGTGATCTAAATGTTTTTAACCACACTTAAAAGGTGTGATCTAAATGTTTTTAACCACACTTAAAAGGTGTGATCTAAATGTTTTTAACCACACTTAAAAGGTGTGATCTAAATGTTTTTAACCACACTTAAAAGGTGTGATCTAAATGTTTTTAACCACACTTAAAAGGTGTGATCTAAATGTTTTTAACCACACTTAAAAGGTGTGATCTAAATGTTTTTAACCACACTTAAAAGGTGTGATCTAAATGTTTTTAACCACACTTAAAAGGTGTGATCTAAATGTTTTTAACCACACTTAAAAGGTGTGATCTAAATGTTTTTAACCACACTTAAAAGGTGTGATCTAAATGTTTTTAACCACACTTAAAAGGTGTGATCTAAATGTTTTTAACCACACTTAAAAGGTGTGATCTAAATGTTTTTAACCACACTTAAAAGGTGTGATCTAAATGTTTTTAACCACACTTAAAAGGTGTGATCTAAATGTTTTTAACCACACTTAAAAGGTGTGATCTAAATGTTTTTAACCACACTTAAAAGGTGTGATCTAAATGTTTTTAACCACACTTAAAAGGTGTGATCTAAATGTTTTTAACCACACTTAAAAGGTGTGATCTAAATGTTTTTAACCACACTTAAAAGGTGTGATCTAAATGTTTTTAACCACACTTAAAAGGTGTGATCTAAATGTTTTTAACCACACTTAAAAGGTGTGATCTAAATGTTTTTAACCACACTTAAAAGGTGTGATCTAAATGTTTTTAACCACACTTAAAAGGTGTGATCTAAATGTTTTTAACCACACTTAAAAGGTGTGATCTAAATGTTTTTAACCACACTTAAAAGGTGTGATCTAAATGTTTTTAACCACACTTAAAAGGTGTGATCTAAATGTTTTTAACCACACTTAAAAGGTGTGATCTAAATGTTTTTAACCACACTTAAAAGGTGTGATCTAAATGTTTTTAACCACACTTAAAAGGTGTGATCTAAATGTTTTTAACCACACTTAAAAGGTGTGATCTAAATGTTTTTAACCACACTTAAAAGGTGTGATCTAAATGTTTTTAACCACACTTAAAAGGTGTGATCTAAATGTTTTTAACCACACTTAAAAGGTGTGATCTAAATGTTTTTAACCACACTTAAAAGGTGTGATCTAAATGTTTTTAACCACACTTAAAAGGTGTGATCTAAATGTTTTTAACCACACTTAAAAGGTGTGATCTAAATGTTTTTAACCACACTTAAAAGGTGTGATCTAAATGTTTTTAACCACACTTAAAAGGTGTGATCTAAATGTTTTTAACCACACTTAAAAGGTGTGATCTAAATGTTTTTAACCACACTTAAAAGGTGTGATCTAAATGTTTTTAACCACACTTAAAAGGTGTGATCTAAATGTTTTTAACCACACTTAAAAGGTGTGATCTAAATGTTTTTAACCACACTTAAAAGGTGTGATCTAAATGTTTTTAACCACACTTAAAAGGTGTGATCTAAATGTTTTTAACCACACTTAAAAGGTGTGATCTAAATGTTTTTAACCACACTTAAAAGGTGTG